CTGAAAAATAGTGAAAAGCATCAACTATCAGAAATCCAGATGGAGATGAAGAGAAGGTGCAAGTTTTCCCCTAGCCCTTGGGGGCTATTTATAGTTTTTTTGGGAGAAAAAAAGAAGTTTACAGATTTTTTTTGGAAATTTCAAAAGTTTTGGATTTTTTTGAATCTTTTTGAATTTTTTCAGATTTTTGTTGGAATTTTTTTAGTTAAACAAAGATTAAAAAAAATTTAAAAATTCTAACTGCGCGGCTACGCGTGAACGGCGGGTCATGCCTGTTCACATGTGGTGCTCGCACCGCCGGTGGCGGCGGGCAGCGGCCGGCCGGTTCGGCCGCCTAGGTGAGTCCGGGCCCGATTTTTGGCCCGGACGATCCAAATTGGATGTTTTTGGGGTCTGTCGACACATTTTTCAATGTTATGGACTCAATTTTGACACTTTCGGAGCTCAACGAGACCTCTATGATAAAGTTTGAGCAAGCTTTTGATTTTTCGAATGTAATTTTTTTGTAATTCAGCCAGTGTGAAATGTTGACACATATATTTTTGAACTCATGGAGCTTCGACGTCCGAAAATAGTGGGGCAACTAAAATATCATCAAAAACATTATCATGATCAGGCATGAATCTCAAGGCAAAAATCAAGCCATAAACTTTAAAAATTAAATTCGGGATCACTTGAACTCCGATTTCAGCTAACTTACAGTCAAACTAAGCGTCTGATCAGAAATACGAACCCAATGACGCCAAATAAAACTCAATCCGAGTTCAAATGAGTCCAAATGAAGGACCCAAAAAGTAGTTGGAAAGTTCATACCCCAATTTGCGTTACCAAACGCTTTCCGAACTTGACGAGCTTATAGTCAAATAGAGCGGCTCGATGAGACAAATCCAACGAACTCAAGAACGTGGAATTTTAAAGTCATTAAGACCTTCAAATGTATGATAAACATTCCTTGATCGAAGGATTCAATCTCGGTCGTTCATCCCAACCACTCCATATTTGCCCCTGATTTCTCATCTATTTACAGGCTATGCCACTCCAGAAAATCTATAAATGGACCCCTCATTTCTCTTGAGAGGGGACCCAATCAAGAAGAAAAGAAGAGAAGGATAGGAGGGAATAACTCCTCGATCACTGCTGAAATTCTGCCTGACTTCCTCGGGACGCCGGAATTCCTTCTGACTTTCTGGTGATGTCGAAAATCCGCAAGTGATGCCGAAATTCTGCCTGACACCCAAGCGACACCTGAATTCTAAGTGGTTCTGAATTTAGCTCGAATACACAACTTGTTTATAATTGGATTTCAATCTGAAAGTGAAGCATTATAATCTGATCGTCCTAAATTTTAAGGACGAGTCAGCCTCTTGTACCTCGAACAAACACTAGTGGAATTATTTCAACTGGGCGTGATCCCGCGGTTTTTTCCTTTTTCAAGATTTTTCACGTAAAAATCCTGGTGTTATTTCTGTCATGTTTGTGTGCTAGATATCAGTACAACACTTAGACGAAAATTTTCTAACTCTATTGTCGCGTATACTCTAGTCCGCAATAATATATATATATATATATATATATTGCATAAGAAGATTGAACTATAAAGAAGCAGTGACCACTAGTTCAGGATGCCAATTATACAGCGAACGAATTAATCAACTAAAGTGTAAGAAACAAAATTGGATCAGATCATCCTTGAGTGCTTGTCTCGAGCTGCCAATCAACGCAAAAATTGCATGATTTGCTCCACGCCTTAACCGCAATCTTTGCCAAGATCTAACCCTACCACTTTTGCACACCATCTTGACTCTTGATTTAAGGAGTCATAAACCTAGAATTTACTCACACCTCATTGTTTCTCTCACACGGTTAGGGATGTCAAAACGGGTTGAAGGGTCAGGTTCGGGTCTGCACCAAATTGACCCGACTCAAATCCAATCAATCCGAACCCGATTCGTTTAATAATTAAGTTAAAAATACAAACCCGAATTTGACCCACTAGCAACCTGAAACTTGACCCGAACCGTTAACATTTTTTTCTTAAAAAAAAAAAAAAACTTTTTTAATAACATATTAACTGTAAAATTTAGAATATTTGATAAAAAATAAAAAGATTATACCTACAAATAAAAAAATTAAGGAAAAAAAAATTAAACGAGTAATTCAGGTTAATAATAGGTTCGCGTGTCAGCTCAAACTGGCCCGTTTAACAAACATGTCAGAAAAACCCAACCCAAACCCGACGTGTTTCTTAAACGAATCAACCTGAGCACGAAATTTTTGGGATGTGTTCACGTCAAATTAATTTTGACACCCCTACTCACACAGTGTTTGTCCTCTTTAACGAATGATGCAATGCAAGCCATCATTCTCACCATCTTCTTCTTTCAATCAAGCACCAAACATTAGCCTTCCCTTTCTCTATCAACGATCTTCTCTAGCTAATAAAATGATATTCTCCTTCTTTTACTTATAATTATTGACATCTCACCAAAAATTCACATTTATCAGGCACGAATCTCGATGAAAATATGAGATTGAGGCTTCAAAAACTAAAATCAGGACCATCTGATCTTCAATTTCAACCAGCTTATAGTCAAATTGAACATCTGACGGAGCCGAAGCTAACGAGATCAAATTTGATCCAATCTGAGCTCAAATGAGCCCAAATCAAAGGTCTAAAGACAATTTGGAAGCTTCAAAACATTAATTTGATTACCAAATGATATCTAAATATGGCATGCTTGTAGTTGAATCGAGCGGCTCGCTCCAACAGGCAAAAGATCTCTCAAATTTGACATCTCTAGGGCATCTAAATGCTTAATAAACGCTTCATGAGATAGGGAATCACAATGAACCGTCCGATGGAACACTCCCAACATGTCATTGATCTTCTCCATATTTATTAGTCATACCACTCCCAAAAAATTATAAATAGCCCCCAATCTTTATTAGGGAATAAACCAATTGTAATTAAATAATATGTCTTAATGAGCTGGCATCATACGTGTGGCTAGCCAATTGTCTTTTCTGTCTTTAGTTGCCTATATATATAGGTTGTACCTTAGCTGTTTTGAGACATACGAATACATCTTTATTTCCTTCATCTCTTTCCCTGTTCTGCTCCAAGAACCGAAAGGTTCCAGTGCAAGAACCAAAAGGTTCTACCGATTCTACAATCTTTACATGAAGAGGGAGGAAGAAAATGAGAAAACTTGGGGAGCACCCTTGCCGTCGATGACAACCGGATCTCTTCCTGACCATCGAGTGTCATTGGACTTCTGCCTGTTTGTCGACTACCGCCGGATTTCTTCCCGACCACCGATCATCATTGTATTTCTGCTTGTTCATCAGCTGCCGCCAAATCTCTTCACGACCATCAGCTGTCACCAGACATCAGCTGGTTCATCGGTTGTAACCAAATCTCTCTAACCACCGACCATCATTGGACTTCTGTTCGTCCGTCGTCCACCTCCAAATCTCTTCCTGACCATTGACCGCTGTCAAACTTTCGCCCGTTCATGAGCCACCATATGATGTCTTTGTGATCACCGATTATCCCCAGACTTCTACCTATTTGTTGGATATTGTTGAATCCTTGATCTTCTACAGACCTTTATTGAACATTCTCCTAAATGATGATACTGGATTTCTGATATATGTCTTATACATCATAAGTTTAGCAAGATCTTCAACATATTGTCTTCGAGTTGAAAAATGGGTTGACTTTTGTAACATTTTCAAACAATAGTGGAATATTTTCAATTGGGCGAGGTCCCATGATTTTTTCCCTTTCAGAGTTTTCCACATAAAAATTATCGTGTTTCTTCATATTTACAATTATTTGTCTATGTACTGAAATTTCATATATTATTAAGACGTAAAATCTTTATGCTCTTTCATTATGAATTTTTCAGCCCGCAACAATTATAATGACTTACTAAAACGACAATAGAATTTATGTCTCCATTATTATTAGAATTTATTATCTCTTTGATAGTCGCTTCCTTGATATGTTGTTAGACATGTTAACTGTGTACATATCTTGCAAAGCATTTATTGAAGGCTCTACATAATTAGGTTTTAGTTTGCTTCGGTCTTAAGCAACGATGTGTTTGATTACTTGTAGTTTTAAATCTTAATTTAGGATATTTTCACATGTTAGTACGTGATTTATTGAATCTCACTTTATTCTGAATTTTGTAAAGCTCATTTTCAGACAAGTAATTTTAATTTATTTATTAGAGGATAAATATATCTTTATATTCAGGACTTTATCCTTATTATTATTATTATCCGGTTAACATTTTAGTATTTGTTTCCCTTATTAGTGTTTTTATTTCCGTTGAACACTTCTTATAGACTTTATTGATGCAATTAAATATTATTTACTCTGTTATAATTCTTATATGTTCTGCTCTAATTACTTGCACATAAAACTTTTTTCAAGAATAGATTTACTCTATCATAATTTTTCTAGTATATTTTCAAGAGTTGAGGTCAATTTATTTTTCAAGAAACGAGAAATGATAAACGAAAAAGAAATGAGGCTAGTTGCAGTGGTCTTTGATTTTTCTCTTGGATGGCTCATGCCTGGCAACCGGTGGTGGCCTGGGTCCGTCTTCTTTTGTTCCTGTCTTGCTTTCCTCCTTGGTGTGTTGGGTTGTTGCTGATTGTTTGGCGTGGATTGCTGGGGTGCTTTTATTGGCTTCTACTCCTTCGGTTGGCCTTATTTAGATTTTTGCTTTGCTTGGTTTGCTTATTAGGCTGTCGTTTGTTTCCTTTGCTTGTGTTCCTATTAGTTTTGATCATTAGCCCGTAGATTTTATTTTATTTTTTGTATTTTTAGGGGGGCTTTGATTCTTTAAAGTCTTGTAATTTCTTTTTCATTAACGTGTAGGTTTTTTTCAAAAAAAGAGAAAAAAAAAAACGAAAAAGAAATGAGAAAAGGGGAAAACATACATCAAAAGAATATAATCTTGAGTAACCGAAGAGGAAATAAAATGTAAATAAAATAAAAAGCTGTATTATTAATAATTTATTCATCTTATTCAGTGCGTTCGAGCTACACCGTCTTCTTGATCGAAAGTGCAACAACAAATATGAGATTAAATTTTTATTTTTTCTGAAAATATCTATCGAGTAATCTTGCTGGAGAGACTCATGTCCACTTCTTCAATGAATCACAATTCAGAATCTTTCTCATAGTACAGAACGTCTCCACTATCCCGTACATAGTGATCACGCCTCAAGCTCTTAAACAGAGTTCCAAGCAGGTGAAAAGGTAAAGGTGCAGATTTCTCTGGTTCTCTGTAGTATTTTCCAAGGACTGGCTTAGCTGCCTCAGTCTGTTACAAAGAGCATTTATAAGTGCTGGCCAACTTTATAAGGAGTGCTGAGACAATGTGAATTTAGTATTACTTACAGCCTCTAGAAGATTGTAATGTGGTATTTGTGGGAAGAGGTGGTGAATCACATGAGTACCAATGTCATGGTGGATGTTGTTGATCCATCCATAGTCACGATCAAGTGTCGTCAAGCCTCCTCGAAGATAGCTCCATTCCTGCAAGCCAAGAACAAATCATTATGGAAGCTTTTCATCATGTCCAAATGGCTATAAGAGAATTCATTACCTTCCCACGGTACCAGGGAAGCTTTTCATCATGTCCATGGTGATGTAAATAAGTTACCAAGTCCAGCCACATAACAAATATCTGCAATTAGATCCACATAACTAAGTTGTTTATGACCTGACACTTAAATTAGAAAAAAGCTCTACAATAAGAAGAGGAAAGGTCAACCAAGTAGGGAATTGCATAGAGCTTGAGCAATTGCAGAGGACCCATAATCAAAGTTAATCCAGCTAACAAAGCAGCCATTGCCATCCAACAAGCTGTAGAAGTGATGACATCTATCCTGTCATTCTGACCAAACAAATCACTCTCTGGGTTGAAGTGTGACCCACTCTTTCCTGGACTTCGCCTCCACTGCCATCAATACAAAAATTTAGCAATACTGTGACTTAATTCTGCAAGAAACTGTACAATGACAAGCAAAATCTCTCACCAAATAAAAGGGAAAGGCGAGCATTGGGAAAGGAAATGTGAACCTAAGATTCCTAGTTGTTGTATCCAAGCTCCTATAAACACTTTCAGACAGCTACACAAACAACAAGATAACAGAATAGCGGAGAGAAAAAAATCAATCATCATCAATTCACAAAACTAAGAGAAGTACTAACAGGGTGCCAAGATTCGTCCTTGTCCACATTGCCGTGGTTCTGATGATGAGTTCTGTGGCTTATTCTCCTGCAGAATTCAACGAAAGATTAAAAGTAGTAAAATGATATATATAGCCCATGAAACTGGTTTTGTAAATGAGGTTTACCATCCATGATAGGGCACAAGAATGGAGGAATGGAGGAGATGGCCAACCACACTGTTCAGTCTGTGACAATCCGAAAAGCTTCCATGCCCACTGTTCGAAATTAAATCCAAAAAAACCAAAAGCCTTATCGATCTAGCGGGCTTCAAAACTCAAACAGCAAAGGTCGAGTTTAGCTTCGGCATACCAGTCATGACCAAGAACGAAGAGTGCCCAGAACATCGTCCCCTGTGCGGCCCAATATAGAGGCCAAACAATCCAGCAGTTGATATAAGCAGCGGCGGCCACAAGGCCGAAGACGACGGCGACGTCCCGACCTACGTAGCTCATCGACCGCCATGGATTCTTCACCCAGCAGTGTTTAGGTATCGCCGCGCGGATCTCCGCAAGCCTAAATGGTGGCGGCATCCCTGGATCAAACTCATTTGCTCGAAGGCTAATAACCTTCTCCCGTTCCTCCTCCTCCAAGACGACGGGCCTCCCACTCTTCATCTCTCTATGGCTTCTTGTGATGAAATTCGAAACTTTACAGCAATTTATAATCCCGCGATTAGGAGAAATTATTAGGTGCGGCCGGACGGTATCTAGTGCCTGACCTGTGAGAGATTATTAGGTGTGCAGTGCGGACGGCGAGAATCGTCCACATAAGTATTGAGTACCTAGCAGTATTGTTGGGTACCGCTAGATACTCAGTATTTATGAGGACAGTGCGCATTCCGCACCTAATAATTTTTCCAGACCTCTAAATTCAATTAGGGCTGCAAACCAACCGGACATCCAATGTTGTTCGGTTTAAAGTCTATTTTAGCTCAGATTATTTAGCTCATTAGCACACTTAAAGTGGATAGTTTTAATAGAATTGGTTGTCAAATTATTGTGAGAAAATTAAGGATCAATTTGAGAAATTTATTTTATGGTTTTTCTTCTCAAATAATAATTAAAATTTTATATGGCTATTTTATTTTTTTCTGTTTTTAAAAATTTTTTCCACTAAAAAGATATTATTTTAGTAATTTTAAATAAAATTATTTTTCTAACAATAACTTTATAATTATCTTTATAAAAAATTACAATTGAAAAAGTAAATTTTATTGTAGATTTTTTTTAAAAAAACATTAGAAAACAGTAAGAAAATGATAGTCAAATTAAATTGAGATTATTATTTAAAGAAAATGGCCGTTGTCCCAAATGTTTCTGCACCGCCCCATGTGACTCATTCCCTAGTAATTAAAACTACTCCATAAATATTATAAATTTGAAGTTCTCCCGCCTAAATTAAGAGGTTGCTAAACATAAAATGAGCAATTTTAAATCCCACTTTTTTTCTCTTTTTTTTTTTTCCCTTCAAATATATTTTTTTCCATTAGATGAAAAATGACTTACAAATCACTGCCCAAAGAGGCCAAATAAAAAAAATTTAAAGGCTAAATCACCACAATAAGTAACAAATTGCTAAGCAAGCTAAAAATGAAAAATAATCCAAAATAAAAAAAGGTCCTGAAACCAGCCGGACTCAGTATCGTCACCCAGCTGCCAGTCTTGGACCATCCGTTATAGGGAGAGAATACAACAACCAGAAGTCCCAAATACAAAACAATGGTCACCATTGATCGAGCAGATGAATCAACCACCAAGGTTGTCAAAACAAGCCAAGGCCATCTATGGGGGCGTGCAGTAAACCTGCCTCGTCACTGTCCTCTCCCGAGAAACCAGATCAAACAAGTAGACACCACATCAAACAACCAGGTAGTAAACCCACTGCCAAGTAGTCACCACAGCAGACAACCAGCCTAATAAACCCACACCAACAAAAAATAAACAAACCAAAAGATGATCCTAAATCGGATAAAACCAAAAGACAACGAATGAAAGAGAGAACCAAATCAAGAGAAAAAAAATTCTTTTTTTCTTTGTTAAAATCTTCCTCAATGTGGCCCACATTCAAACCATACAAATCCTGAAAATCATCTCCAGGATCACCATTATCTTCCTAAACACCCCAATTAGCCAATGGATCACCTCAACCAGCTAATCTGAATGATCCACATAGGAATCCTTTGATTTAAACCCAAATGAGCTACCAAAGCATCATTAGAAACAAGTGAGATTGGCACATCTATAAAAGGTACATTATCACTCTCCTACAAACTCATATACATCATAGTCGGTTCATTGGATTCCATAAGCAACTGTCTCGAATTGCATCCCTCAGAAGTTTCATTAAAATCCACCTGATTAATATCACAATGCTCTACATCCAGATCATTAACAGGAGAGGAAATAATCATAAGGGTGTGCACATTAACAAGAGCATCCCCCACCCTCATATTACCCTCGTCCCTCGCCATTTCTCCCACAGAAAATGATACAATTTCCACATTATCAAGAACAATAAAAGGAGAAAGGATTAGAGGGGAACCCACTTGGGGTGTAAGTGAGCCGAGCTGGCTCGTGAGCCGCCTCAAACTCGACTCATTAACAAGCTCACGATCCGAGCTTATCGACCTTCGAGCTCGAGCTTGTTTATTAAATGAGCTTGAGTTCGAGCTGGTTAAGGCTAGGGGTGTCAATTATTGACCCGACCCGACAATCCGACCTTGAAAATTTGGGTTAGGGTTGACCCGTTTAACAAATGGGTATGGTTCGGGTTTCGATTTTCAACCCGTTTTAAAAACGGGTAGGGTCTGGGTCAACCCGGTAACCCGAACTTGACCCAGCTGCTAACCCGCCTCGCGTATCGCATCGGCGACTCGCACAGTCACACTCTGCGTCTCCGATCTCCATGGTCTCGCATGTCTGTACTGATCTCACATCCTCCCTCTCGTCGAACCGCGGATCCAGAAGTAGGCCAGCATCACGCCAAGCGCACATTGCGGAGCGCTAGTGTTGCATGCCTTCACCGGACACCGGTCTTGCCTGCCCTTGCAAGTCACGTTGAATAGCGGAGCCACACAGGCACTCAACAACCGCAGCCACACAACTCTCGGCCTAGCTCTAACTGCCCGAATCTCGATCTCCAAATCTCCTTCATGGGTCGGGTTGGGTCTGGGTTGACAAACCTGACCAGTTTGCAAAAATGGGCCGGGTTAGTGTCAACCCGTTTACCACCGGGTCAAGTCGGGTTCGACCCGAACCCGACTCGTTGACCCAAATTGACACCCCTAGTTGAGGCTTGACTCGTGAGCTCGCAAGCCGACTCGAAATTATTTAATTAATTAAATTAATTAGTGAACATATTTTTTTAAAAATAAATAAATAAATCTGCTCTTTACCTATTTCGGCCTATATGATAGTTTTTAAAAAAGGATGTCTATTCAATAAAAATATAACTATTTCGGCTTCTATGAGAGGACAACCTGTATGATAGGATAGCCTATACCTCATCTTCATTAATCTATGAGAGAAGTTTTAAAAAAGTATGAATAAAAGATTATTAATTACTTTCTCCAAAAAGAGCTCTTGCATGTTCATGTTAAAAAATAATCCTAGTGTTTCTACTTTTTGAAATGCGAAACGGACAAGGCGACAAAATGAAAAATAGGTTGGAAAAATGGGAAAAATGCAAAATCTAATCATAATCAAGCAACTCGTGAGCCGGCTCGAGCTCGTTAATAGTGTGACGAGCTTGAGTTCGAGCTCGTCTTTTGAGCTCGACTTGCGCTCGAAGTCGAGCTCGCTTTCCAACTAACGAGCCGAGCTAGATAGTTCCAAAACTCGACTCGTTTACACCCCTAGAACCCACCCTAATAACATCCATCAAATTTTCCCCATGGGTTTGGGAGCAACCAAGAGGGGTACGAGCGGATTCCACATCAACATCAGAAGCAAGCATATGAGAACGAATCAGATCTCTACCCATTTTACCTTAAACTAGGGAATATAGTAATTCAAATAAAATATAGTAATTTAAATAAAATATAATAAATTAAATAAATTTATAGTACTTTTAATTTATTTAAATTAATGGAATTTATATGAATTAGTTTTATAAATTATTAATTAATGATTAATTGATATCCTTCCAATACTAATTATAATTTATCAATTTAATAATACATTACATAAGTTTAAATTTTTATCCATTTATTATATATTTATTAATTATAAATTATCTAGTATAAATAATTATCATGCGTAAATCTATAATGTGAATTAGCAATAGTTTATATTAAATTTATAATTTTTTGTTTGAATTAAATTTATATTAACGTGAACTAAATATATTACATCGAGCCATAATAAAGCTTCTTAACAAGCATTAATGAAACTGTTTATGATTATAAATAAGTTAATAAAAAAAATATGAATGAGCTCTTATAGAAACGAGCTAAATCTTTCTTGCTGAATACTTGGTTCATTTGTAGTCTTATTTGTGAGTGAAAGTAGTGTGCATGAGTAAGAAGGAGACATTATCTCTCAACAAAGCTAAAGGATGGGTTAATTCTATGGGTTCAAGATAGGAGATTCAAAACCATTCAAAATTTTAAATCCCATTTCTATCCCATTTTACCTTAAATTAGGGATTATTATTAGTTAATTAAAATACAATAACTTAAATTGATACTGTTTGTTAATTTATTTTAATTTAATAGAATTTATACTAATTACTTTTATGATGATTAACTGAGCTAATTTCTTTTTATAATAATTATAATTTATCTATTTAATTATCCACTATGTAAGGTTCTTTTTTATCTATATATCCGGCGGCAGTGGCATGCCTGCCGTATGCGTGAACGCGCGGTTCCGCGGTAGTTAGCCGTGCGGATTCGAATTTTTTTTGTGGGGCCCACATGAAAATTTGTTAACCCAAAAAATTCCAAAAAAAATCCAAAATTTCTGAAAAATTCAAAAAAAAATTTGAAATTTTTTAAAATTTATGGAAACTTCTAGAGGCTTCTCTTTTCCTCTAAAAATACTATAAATAACCCCCAAGGCTAAGGGGAAACTTGCACCTTCTTCTTTTCTCCTTCTAACTCTCTGAAAGTTGAGGCTTTCCGTTATTTTTGAGTAGGTAATTTTCCCTACTCAATTTAGCGCCCCTCCTCTTGTACAGAAATTAAAAATTTCTCTTTTCTCTCTTCTGGCTTTCTGGCAATTGAGGCTTTCCGCTGTTTTTGAATATATGACTTTCCCTACTCAATTGCCCCTCTTTAGTATAGAAGGAAAATTTTTTCTCCTTCCAATATCATCTCCTATGGCTATCTTCTTACACTCGAGGCATTTCATTATTTTTCGTAGGTGACTTTTCCTATTTAAATCAGTGCTCCTCCTCTTGTACAGAAGTTAGACTTTTTGCAGTTGTTTCTTTTCTTTATCTCCCCGCATTCTGACTTTCTTACAGTTGGGGCACTCCCCTATTTTTAGTAGGTGACTTTCCCTATGCAAAATCAGAGCCCCTCTCCGTGTGTAGATGTTAGAATTGTTGCTCCTTATTATTATCTTGTGTTCTTCTTCTTACATTAGAGGCATTCCACTATCGTAGATAAGCAGCATTCCTCTATCAAGCTTCAGTGCCCCTCTCTTGTATAG